CTAAACATATTAGTCCCAATTTTCACATCGCCCAGGTGTTGCTTACAGAGTTTGCAGATGAGCGTTCTATGCACTTCTCACTATATAAATATATAATCAGGTCCAGCACAATACCCCGATAAAGGTATATAACTTGATAAAGCTATATAGCTTTATCAAGGTATTTTATGTAATGAAAATTCAAAAAAGTTCTTTAAAAATTAATTACTGAAAGTTGAGTTCTGAGTTGTTGTCAGTAAATCAAGGTATTTTATGTAATGAAAATTCAAAAAAGTTCTTTAAAAATTAATTACTGAAAGTTGAGTTCTGAGTTGTTGTCAGTAAATCAAGGTATTTTATGTAATGAAAATTCAAAAAAGTTCTTTAAAAATTAATTACTGAAAGTTGAGTTCTGAGTTGTTGTCAGTAAATTCACCCATGCATGCAAATTACTCAAACACAAACAAATTGGTAGAAAAACATGTCGTGCGAGGAGACATTATTTTATGCTTTCTTTTTGATACCAGAGTGTTTTTCATGCACGAGTAGACACACTGACAAAAACTCAGAACTCGACTTTCAGTAATTAATTTTTAAAAGAATTTTTTTTTAATTTTCATTACATAAAATACCTTGATCAAGGTATTTTAAATACCTTGATAAAGCTATATAGCTTTATCAAGCTATATACCTTTATCGGGGTATTGTGCTGGACCTGAAAACATATGAAAATATTTTTTGTTTGGGTCACACCAAAAATTAAAAGAATTATTAATCCACAGTTCGCACGATTGTAGTGATTTTGTCAGAAAATAGTAAATAAACAAATGAACAAACAGACCTAGAGTTGCGTCCCTTTTGTTTTTCTCGTGAATCTAGTATTTAAAAGACTGTAATACTAAAATAACAATACATGTACTAGTTGCACAAAATCCATTCACGTATTTGATACATCACGAACTGTTATCGTTCAAGTATAGGTGTTCCCTTGTGTTACATCAGTGTTGGTATATATATTTTTCTTCATATCCGCAAGTTTAGTTTTCAAATTCTGACATAACCTTATTCAATACACATTGTATTCCACATAAAAAGCGAAGAAACGTTAAATAAATACAGCAAACAATAAATACCTTTTAATAACACAAGAAAACGTATTATCAAAGGCTGTTTAAATAACCCAAATTTGTAAAACGAGTGTAGATGACACTTTCAACTTCTGACCATGCCGTCTGTCTCAAACAATATGGCGACTGTATGTGAACTTTTTCTGAAGATCGAACCCGAGTGATTTTTTGTCGGAAACGTCGTACACATGTATGTGTAACATATGATTACTTGATATGTTTATTTGATCGGGTTCGTTATACAAATTATCTATTAATAAACTTGTAGATTGAACACACGTGTTATCCCTAGCAGTTCAGGTTTCGTGCATACAGGCGGACATTACATGGTGTCAGAAGTACTAGCTGTGTCAGGGCAGTCATTCAGAACATTCCGTTTCAGTTTATTGCCGTTTCCGAGAGAAACAGCTATTCGCATTCTCCAAAAAAACCTCGGACATATCAGGTCAGTGAATGTGAAATTTCAAGATGGCCGCCGCTGCACAGTTCGACCCGCCAAATTTAGACTGGGATGCACCAGACATGTATCAGGAATTCTGTCGCTTTAAACAGCACGTACAGTTTGTATTCAAAGGACCACTTACATCTGCTAAGGACAAAGATCGAGCAGGATGGCTGGGAATCTGGGTCGGTAAACAAGGACGTGAAGTGTACAAGACATTTGAGTGGGACTCTGGAGACGAGGACAAACCCAACAAAATTCTCGACAAATTCGAGGCATACGTTAGCCCAAGGAAAAATAAACGAGCAGCCCGATTCAAGGTGAAACAGAGAAAACAAGGTGAGAGTGAGCCATTTGATAACTTTGTTAAAGACTTGAAGCTAATCATTATGGACTGTGAATACACAAACCCCGATGATGTCCTGATAGATGCTATAATAGCAGGAGTCAGACATGTGAAGGTACAAGAAAGACTTTTGGATCAAGGCAGTGACCTTACACTCGCAAAAGCTCTCAGCATTGGTCGTCAGTATGAAAACTCACAGAAACAGCTTAAACTCATTCGAGGAAGTGAGGAACAGACAGTCACTCAACAGGTTTCACAAGTACATGCCGTACATAAAAAGGTGTATCAGCACAAACCCCGTCACAAAACAAAGAGACACAAGAAACAGCCTTACGTACCCAAAGCCAAAAGTGAGAAGTGTAGTAGGTGTGGGCTTGACCCTACAGAAGGCCATGCAAAATCAGGTCAGTGTCCGGCAATTGGATCAACGTGCAAATATTGTCATAAGAAGGACCATTGGATAGCCGCATGCCGAAAACGTACAAGAGGAGTTAATACACTACAGGAGACGGATAGTGAAACCAGTTCTTCAGACGAAGGAGTACTTCACATATACAGTGCACAAGATGACAGTTCTGTGGTTAATGACAAGTGGGTAGTCAAAGCAACTATAAACAGTAAGCCTGTGAAATTCAGAATAGACACCGGGGCAAAGTCTTCAATTATTGTGAAATCAGTATTCGACTCTCTTGGATCACATGCACAGACTCGCAAGAGTATAAAAGTTCTCAAATCCTACACTAATCATAGGATCCGTCCCTTATACAGTGTTGACCTTCCAATCAAACATAAGGGAAAGCAGGTGAATGCGCAGTTCGAGATAGTAGAGTTGGAACAGGAGAACATTATCAGTGGTGATGTTGCAGAAAAACTAAATCTGATTGAAAGGATACAGAAACTGGATACCGGGATCGATAATCAACCAGAATCCAAGTTCAAAGACTTTCCTGAGCTCATTAAAACTTCAGGAACCCTGCCTGGAGAACACAACATTGAGATAGATCCGTACGCAGAAGGAGTTATTCATGCACCTCGTAGACAGCCAGCATCACTGAAACCTAGGATCATAGATAAGCTTAAGGAAATGGAACAGAATGGCTACATCACAAAAGTAAATACCCCAACTGAATGGGTCAGTTCGATGGTCGTATCTATGAGAAACGACAAGATTCGCATCTGTTTGGACCCGTCCGACCTGAACAAAGTCGTCAAACGAGCTCATCACCCCATGAAAACAGTCGAGGATATCGTTTCAAACATACCAAATGCACATGTTTTCTCCAAGCTAGACGCAAAGTCAGGATTCCTCCAAATTAAGCTGAATGAAAAATCATCATACCTAACAACCTTCAATACTTCAATAGGAAGGTACAGATGGCTTCGTCTTCCATTTGGCATCAAATCCGCTCCCGAAATCTTTCAGCATATCATGGATCAGATGCTTGAAGGGATAGAAGGTGCAGCAGCAGTGATGGATGACATACTTATCGGAGGAAGAGATGTAGAACAGCATGATCAGATATTCAGAAAAGTCGTTGAAAGAGCTACACAGTATAATCTGAAGCTTAACTATGACAAATGTGAAATCAGACAGCCGCAGGTTTCATACGTAGGACACTTGATTACAGAGAATGGTGTTAGGCCAGACCCGAGCAAAGTCCGAGCTTTAGTCGACATGCCAAGGCCAAAGGATAAGGAAGGAGTGAGACGCTTCCTAGGACTGGTTCAGTATTTAGCCAAATTTATACCGAACTTAAGTCAAGTGGATGCACCACTAAGAGTTCTTGTGAAAGCAGAAACACAATTCGCGTGGAATCACGAGCAGGAAAACTGTTTCAGGGAACTTAAAACACTCTGTAGTAGACAACCTGTGCTTGCGTTTTACGATGTAAACAAGCCGGTGGAGATCCAATGCGACGCATCTAAGGATGGACTCGGTGCAGTTCTTATCCAAGCAGGACGCCCTGTCGCATACTCATCTCGCTCGCTCACAGACACAGAGAAGCGCTACGCGCAGATAGAAAAAGAAATGCTGTCCATTGTCCATGCAGCAACAAAATTCCATTGTTATATATTTGGGAAAGAAACTATTGTCTACAATGACCATAAGCCACTGGAAATGATCTTCCAAAAACCACTAGCATCCGCACCAATGAGGTTGCAGAAAATGCTGCTGAGGCTTCAGTGGTACAACCTAAAAGTCCGTTACCGCAAAGGAAAGGATATGACAGTCGCTGATGCTCTATCCAGAGAGTACCTACCTGAGGCTGATCCGGAGATGGAGACTCTAGAAAACGTCAATATGTTGGATATGTTAGATGTCACTCCAGATCGCTACTTAGACATAGCCCAACGCACCAAAATAGAATTGTCAGACCTATGTAGCACGATAGTACATTGATGGCCAGACGTCAAATCCGAAACACCTCTTACTGTCAGAGAGTATTGGGATTCTAGAGATCTGTTATCAATCACAGACGGCATAGTCTACAAGGGATGGAGGATCGTTATACCAAGTTTACAAAGCTACATGCTGAAAGTGATTAATGAGTTACATTTAGGAATTGTCAAATGCAAACAGAGGGCAAGAGAGGTCATGTATTGGCCCGCCATGAATACAGCCATTGAAGAGGAAGTCAGAAACTGTTCAAAATGTGCCACGTACCAAAACAAACAGAGTCGTGAACCACTTAAGCCAACAAATACACCTGAGATTCCTTATGGGGAAGTTGGATGTGATTTGTTTGACTTTGAACAGAAGAAGTACCTTATGATAGTGGACTATCATTCCAGATACTTCGACGCGATTGAATTGAAATCCACAACAACATCAGCAGTCGTCAATGCTATGAAAGTCACATTTAGTTGTCACGGGATTCCAATGAAATTGCGGTCAGACAATGGGCCTCCATTTAATTCACGAGAATTCCATTTGTTTTGCAACCAATACGGAATACAACACACCACATCAAGTCCGCATTTCCAAAGTTCTAATGGAGAAGCAGAAAGAGCAATACAGACAGTCAAGAAACTGTGGAGAAAGTCAGATGATAAATATCTCAGCTTGTTAAACTACCGCACAACACCTCTGGAGTCAGTCAACCTATCACCAGCACAACTCTTAATGGGCCGTAGACCACGGAACAACTTACCAACCCGAACAGAGCTACTCAAGTCCAGAAACGCAGGACCAAATCTAAGTCAACAAATGAAAGATATCAAGGAGAAACAGAAGTTCTATTATGATAGGAGACATGTAAAAGAGCTACCACGCTTAGATATTGGTGATCAAGTAAGAGTTGCACCCCCAGAAACTTCGAACACCAAGGAATGGAAACCAGCAACAGTAGTTGAACAACACAAACAGCCGAGATCCTATGTCGTCGAGTTTAACAACAATCAGAGGCTCCGACGCAACAGGAAACATCTCAGACGAACAAATCCGAATGCTAACCGTGCGCCAGAAATGGAACCAGAACCAGATTCAGCAAGCGATTCCGAGATTGATACGCACGAACCTCCAAACACAGTGAACAAACATTTTTCTAAAGGTGTCGTACTCGCGGACTCACCTAAACCCGTTGTTACTTCATCTGGTCGTGTTGTGAGGAAACCGAACCGACTAGACCTCTGAATTCCTATTCATTGACATTTGTGAACTCAGTAATTAAGTTTATTGCATGGAATTGATTGCTTTAATTATTTCAGAAATTGTCTAATTGAACAGTGCTAATTAACAAAATTTCTAATTGATGAGTCAAATTAACTTTCATTTCATGTATTCATTTGAACTGAATTTTGATTTCATATTGTATTAATCTTTCTAAAGAAAGGGAGATGTAACATATGATTACTTGATATGTTTATTTGATCGGGTTCGTTATACAAATTATCTATTAATAAACTTGTAGATTGAACACACGTGTTATCCCTAGCAGTTCAGGTTTCGTGCATACAGGCGGACATTACAGTATGTTCCATGTTAAAGCCGCTTAACCCGAAACAGGCACATATTATCTTACACAATAAAAGTACGTCATTACATAGATAATATATAAAATTGAATTATAAGATTGATTTAATAGTTTATTACAACAATCCTTACATGGAAAACGCAGATCAAAAACCTTATTGACAAACAGTAGTTCCTTACGGAAATTAAAATCTGTTGTGAAGCCAATTTTGAAAAAAATAAGTTTATTGGATATATCTAATAATGATGGTAATTCCAACCCGAGTGTTTTTTTCTCTATTATTAGAAGCCTAAGTCATAATACTCAGTACACCTTTTCAAAATTAAGAAATTAATGGAATATAATCCATAGTAATTTTTCTATTAATATGCATATTTAAAGAATAAAGGAAAATCAGATGTTTTAAATGATTTTTTAAAGGAGCTAAAATATTGTCCGTGTACAGGTAATAAATGTACTTTGTTGTGAAAAAAAATGTTCGGGTGTGTTCTTCATGAGATAAACATGTAAGCGATAAATTTAATTTTTCGAAGGTGATTTCACGCTATATCAACAATGATCAACATAGGATTATTTTTTGTGTGACCTAACAAAAATTATTTTTTTAACTTTTGAATTTTGATATCTTTTAAAAGAAAAGGACTTAGGGGATATAATTTGACAAAAGTTGAAACAATTTATGGACAATTATTTTTCAAGAAGAAAATCGAATATGTATTTTTAGCGATTAGAATCGGACCAAGCGGCTTTAACTTTTTTAAAAAGTACAATTTTAAAAGTTTATTTCCTTGTACATAAAGTTTATTATAAAATCATATAAACACTTTGAGATTAGCATTTTAAAAGTATATGACAGATTATTTGTAAGTTATGTTCAAAAGTATATAACAGAATATTCCATTATCATGACAACAATGATCATATAGTAAGAAAAAGATAATAACATGATATTTCTAATTAATTAAATTAAGTATCTTTGTATAAGCTACTTATGTACCAAGTCTTACTGAAATCGAACTAAAACTTCATAAGGAGAAATAGCATTTTGAAAGAATTGCACAGAATATTCTATTTTTAGTAACCATGGCAACACCGTTCATCGAAATCAAAAACCAATGCGCTATTTTATGTATCTTAATGTAGTCTACTCCTGTGCCAAGTAATATTGAAATCAGACCAAAACTGTAGAAGGAGTAGCATTTTAAAGGAATTTCTAAGAAAGTTCTATTTTTAGTAACCATGGCAACACCGTTCATCGAAATAAAAAACCGATGCATTATTCTATGTATCTTAATGTAGTCTACTCGTGTGCCAAGTAATATTGAAATCAGACCAAAACTGTAGAAGGAGTAGCGTTTTAAAGGAATTTCTCAGAAAGTTCTATTTTTAGTAACCATGGCAACACCGTTCATTGAAATCAAAAACCGATGCACTATTTTATGTATCTTAATGTAGTCTACTCCTGTGCCAAGTAATATTGAAATCAGACCAAAACTGTAGAAGGAGTAGCATTTTAAAGGAATTTCTAAGAAAGTTCTATTTAAGTAACCATGGCAACACCGTTCATCGAAATAAAAAACCGATGCACTATTCTATGTATCTTAATGTAGTCTACTCGTGTACCAAGTAATATTGAAATCAGACCAAAACTGTAGGAGGAGTAGCGTTTTAAAGGAATTTCTAAGAAAGTTCTATTTTTAGTAACCATGGCAACACCGTTCATTGAAATCAAAAACCGATGCACTATTCTATGTATCTAAGTGCAGTCTACTTGTGTGCCAAGTAATATTGAAATTAGACCAAAACTGTAGAAGGAGTAGCGTTTTAAAGGAATTTCTCAGAAAGTTCTATTTTTAGTAACCATGGCAACACCGTTCATTGAAATCAAAAACCGATGCACTATTCTATGTATCTAAGTGTAGTCTACTTGTGTGCCAAGTAATATTGAAATTAGACCAAAACTGTAGAAGGAGTAGCGTTTTAAAGGAATTTCTCAGAAAATTCTATTTTTAGTAACCATGGCAATACTGTCCATCGAAATCAAAAACCGATGCACTATTTTATGTATCTTAGTGTAGTCTACTTGTGTGCCAAGTTATATTGAAATCAGACAAAAATTGTAGGAGGAGTAGCATTTTGAAAAATTGTTTACAGACAGACGGACAGACAGACGGACAGACAGACAGACAGACAGACGGACGGACGGACGCCGGACGCATTACTATCGCATAAGCTCTTCTGGTCTCTGACCAGTAGAGCTAAAAAACCACATCTTTTTCCATCGGTCACTCCATGACCATGCCATGTGTTCATTGTTTATGATTAGAAGTGTCGCTCTCACTGTACTGCAAACTTTTCTTTTACAAACGGTGTTAGGCCAAATCGTCCAAGCATAAACTAGATAAAACCGGAAGTAAAAGTATTTTTTTCTCTATATACGTCACAAGTAACATGGTGTGGAGGACCTTTCATCATTCTTACAAATGCCATCTTCGCTAGCCAAGGGTTTTCGGTCCGCACATCTCCCCATAAACCCTTGGCCGATATGCATTGTAAAACGCCGGTCACACATAGCGTCATCTGTAAATTCTTCAGAAAGAACGATAATTCTGGCCGAAGCAAACAGCCAATAAAATGATAGCTTTTATGTATGTCTCGGTAGAAAATCATACACAATATGGCAACCTCCATTAAAACAACATTTGGAATACAAAAATTAAATGCTTTCCAACAAGAAGCGATATATGCTTTAACGGACAGACGTGGCGTGTTCATAGGAACGAAAACGGGTTTACACGATGCGTTAGAATTTCCTCGAAAACTTCTCAAAAGTTCAAGGCCGTAAATTGAAAACATTTTTTTTTTCATTGGTCCACGGTCGGTTACAACTCTCCAATGAAAATTGACCGGCGTTTTACAGTGCATATGAGCCAAGGGTTTATGGGGAGCGGTGCGGACCGAAAACCCTTGGCTAGCGAAGATGTACAAATACAAATCAATTCTATATTTTCAGTACTTTATATCTCACAGACGGGAACTTGCCTCCGGTTAGCCTGGGAGATTTGGGTTTATGATGAGGATCGTGGAAGACCGTAGTTGATAGCAAGTTTGTCCAGTAAAAATAACGATAGTAAGAATAAAATTTCATGTTCGAATGGCGTCAATCAGTACTAGTATCTGAAATGTGTATGTTGTTTTTAAGGATGAGAATCAACAGTCAACCCAACCTGAACCTGTAAGCCCGCGGCCACAGTCGCTATCTCGGGATACTCAAGTCTACGATACATAGGGCACGCGGAAACTCTTTGTAAGAGTTCTTTCTTTTATTCTCAAGAAAGCCATATGGTTCTGCTTAAGTGTGACAGAGGCTGAGAACGTCCAAACTCGTAAACAATCATGTCAAAATGAAAAAAATCCAACATTCAACATCTTCAAGTAGGATTGATTGATTGTATATTGTTTAACGTCCCTCTCAATAGTTTTAGCCATATTAAACTAGGATTGATTGATTGTATATTGTTTAACTCCATTTCGAGAATTTTTCACTCGTATGGAGACGCAACCATTTGCCGGTAGAGAGCTGCAAAAGACAAGTCTCAATAAGGCTTGTCTGTGGTCACCGGTTCCTCATCAAATTTTGAAATATTATTAAAATCTTTAAAATTAAATAATATTACTAACAGGTGTCTGTATTACTTGATTCAGCATCTGAAAATGTTTTAAAAAATATCTATAGATATCATATGTATAAAGGTTGAGTGAAATTATCTTTGTTGAACAACCTTGTGCTCTATGTTTTCTAAGGAAAAGAATAGTAATTTTGAATCCGTTTCCTGACTTCCTTTACATCCGTTTAACATCTTCGTGACATGTTTAGGATTAAAATAGTAAGATACGTGGATCTGTGTTGTCACAGGTGAATGCTCCCGGTAAACGTGTTTTCAGCAAGAGATCTAGCTCGCAGCTTAAAACTACTCAGTCTTATATCGTCCATCATCGATCTGTTTCGTATATTTTGTGAGCGTTTTGACGCATAAATTTTGTAAACGGATAATAGTATTTGAAGATGGTATTGATAATTAAATTTTCTTATTTTTGTTTACAGGAAAATATCGAGAATATTTCTGTGTTAACACCTCTCCATAGGGTAGCCATTGTATTATTTTTTGTCAGACAAAGAGTCTATTGCTTGGTGTGTTTTTTGTGCATTTCATTGAACATTGTATATTTTGTCCGGTAAGTACTGCTACATATAGTTCATAAATCTTGACTTCGGTATAGCGATATACTATAACTGTGTGGCTTGTGCAAAAAGGACATCGGACAAACAGCGTAGAAACCTTAAATGTGAAAAAAATGCAAGAGGCCCACGGGCCTTATAGGTCACCTGAGTATCATTTAATAACTTTCCAACAATTGAATTTGATTCGTGTCTTAAACCAGAGGCCATGAAATTCACAATTTTGGAAGAGGCACTCTTGGTCATCATACTACCCTAGTACTAGAACCCCTGACCCTGGGGCCATGAAATGCACAATTTTGGACGAGGCAGCCTTATTCAACATAATTACTATGAAATCAGTAATTTTCGTTCGGGTTAATTTTCGTTGTTTTCGAGGTATGGAGAGACGCACGAATTTATGACCGCCAAGAAATGTAA